AATCAATAATTCACTTTTTATACTCCCAAGATTAGTACATTTAATATTACATAAAGGTTATTCACAAATCTATTATTATTTCCAAAGTAATTTATGGAAAACAGATCTACAATTTTCTTCATCAAACTAATAATAATGAATATTAAAGTATGCATAAAATGAGTATATGTGTTTTAACAAAATAGCACAAAATATTTAATGTAAAAATGTGGTTCTGGTCTCATACTTGTAAAGAAAAATAGACCAAAAAGAAAAAACAATGTAAGTTTATGATCATCTAAATTTTCCCATAATTTTAGTAGTGGGAAAAAGTTTCCTTAAGCTTGTATGTCTTGTCTACCCCATTCAATAAGTAATAAACACATTAAATATTTCAATGTTTACTTCATTAATAGAACTTACCTTTTTTGCTCGCGAAATATAATTAGTACATTTTTTTAAGACATAAGAAAAATTCTTTTTGCTCGGCCATATCACATTAGTCGAAAAATTGAAAATTGAATCATGCAAGATCATTTTTAAGTAAGGTATGCTCAAATTTATTAGTATATAATATTCAAATGATAAAGCATCTACATGAACAAGCTTTAAAAAATATTTCTAAACTGTAATCAAAAAAGCAAATTTTCCAAAATACAGTTTCAGTAGAATGCAAAAACTATATTTTCTGCATCTGATCTAAACACACTGAACCAAAATATCAGTCTGAATTATCACTTTTCAGTCTTTAAGCACATTTGCTTTTCAGGATGAAAGTAAAGATGGAAAATCAATTTCACGCACAGAAATTCCATTTCACAACAAGTCAGCTATCAGCCAAGTTTCTCTCAAACATTAGACACGATTACACGTGCATGGCTATAGTGGTATTTGCTTTCATATTCCATAGTCAGTGCTGGTATTTTATTATTTATTACTAATTTATAAATAGTAAATTTGTAACACAGTAAATCATAATAATTATATATTGCATTACTACATCCACGAAGAAAATAACACCACCATCGCATAACAACAACTAGAACGGCGCCCAATTGCTTGTATTGGGAAACTTCTTAGAGTGGGGGAGGGAGCATGGGAGGGAGGCGGAATTTTTTTCCTCACGTCAGCGTTAACACGGAGAAACGTTTTGCGATTGTAAATGAACTTGGTCGCTTTAAAGAGATGTTGGTTGATACCGGTGTTTATTTGTAAAATCCGAAATGTAAGTGCTTATGTGTGTGTATTCAGAGAATCCAGCTCGTAGCAAAAGCCATCCTCCCTAAGACGACCGCTTCTGAAAGAAACCAGTATTTCTGAAAATATAAGTATATTTTGGTATTGAACATTCCCTCTGTAAGGCGGTCCATTCACAAAGAAAATTCTGCAAGTGTGGCTAGGTCGCCTTAGAGAGATTCATTTCGTAGATGCAATCTCCCTAAGACGATCATTTATAAAAGATAAACGTATTTCTGAGAACGTGAGTATATACGTGGTATTGAGCATCACCTCTCTAAGGCGACCACTTGCAAAAATAATTTTATATGCGACTGGTCGCCTTAGAGAGACCTCGTTGTTGTGGTGTATATTACTGTTTATTGTTTCCGGGAAAAAATTATCAATAAATAGCATATTTATAAAAACTCTCTCTCTCTAAAACGACCACCTGCGTTTCCAGTTACTCTGATGATCTTAAAGAGATCATATTTTCATTCTGTAATATTATTGTTTACAAGAAGTCTATTAACGCAGAAAGAAAAGACATAAACCCATATAAATCAACAGAAGATTTATATTATTTGATACCAGTTAGAAACCATTAAAGTCAATATAACCAATACAACCAGTAAAAAGTTCTGAATTGATTGGTTGTATGGGTGTCAATTGATACAAAAGAAAACCCAGAGACCAATAGAAACCAGTAAAAGTCAATAGAGACCATCAAAAATTCTATAGGTACCAGTAGAAAGTTTAGTGGTTTCTATGGGTCATTTTGAAAACAGTAAGAAAAACCCATAGAGACCAACAGAAACCAGTAAAAGTCAATACAAACCCATAAAATCTTAAGGGTAACCATAAAACGTTTTACTGGTTTCTATGCGGCATTTTTTGCGGGGAAGATACTTTAAAAATTATTTAATGCTTCAAACAAGAAATGCAAACGGAATAGTTTCACTCTCGTGTAAATAAGGCTTTCATTCATATAATCAAAGCCGCATACAACGATGATATGCGGTATCGACTTACCGTAAAATCGGTATTAGCATATGACAGATACCAACAAATTACCGGCATACAAATCGATACTATGAAAACGAAATTTTTACATAGGTAACTGATGAATATTGAGCGAAAGTTGGGTAGGACACTAGAATTTTACCAATACAAAGCTACCAATCTTTAAATATGTAATAAAAAGAAGACTTTTGCCAAATCGATTTAAATCTTTTCCATATTCCTTTAAATTCGCTTTATAATGCATGAATCTGTTTTTGTACATTTTAAATTATGTTTGCCATCTAAAATGCATTAGATTATAATTAGATACTTAAAATATCCTTAAAATATTTTATATCCTTAAAAAATTTTCATTTTTAGGCATTTATACTGAGAAAATCCTGAGTAACAAAGCGAGGCAAACTCTGATAAATAGGTTGAATATATATGTAATTAATAATGTACGTACTATTGTGTAGAAAAACGTAATAAAGTACCATATATTACTGTAAATAAAATAAAATTCAAATATGAAGTTATTAAATATTATTAAACAATTCTATATAAAACGTTATGTATATGAGAGACTATCCCGATTTAGGTCAAATTAAATTTAATAACAAAAATAATGAAATCACTTCACTATCCGTCAGCAACTTCCGAGTCACAAGCATTTGACAGCAGCAAGAAGAATATGAGTTAGTTATTAGTAATTCAGAGTTCCCATAAAGGGATTATTGTCGTGATTTACAGTGAGGAATATACACTCTTTTGCAAAACAACTGAAACACCATGAAGGTAGTGCTGTTTTGATAAATGAATATTGATTCTTTACACAGTAAAAAGGATTAAAAAATCACGGTCAGGTACCTTTTCAGGCTCACAATCACCCATTCGGTGTTTAAATTGTATTGGTCGAACATCCTGGAGGCAAGCATGCTTAATTCGTAAAGGCAGGATGTAGAAGTTCCTATGTCATCCTCGACACATCGCCAGACATCTCAGTTTTCACTCCAATCGCGATTTTGTGGTGCCAGAATCTGGCGGCCTCCATGTCAGAGACATACTCGATTGTGAAAGGTCTGTGACCTTGCTGGACAAGGAAATATCCCTGCACGAATCATCAGAAATGCGAGCGGTAAGGCTTACATTAACTTTTTTAAAAATTACCAACGACGTGCCATGAGGGTAATGCCCCTGCCGCAGATGGTATCACATATCGTGCGCTGTAAAGTTGTACGGAGGATGACTAAAGATACCTCTGCATAAAATAGCGCCCACACCATCACCCGGGTGATGGCTGTATGCTTTGTAAAGAAAGGCTGATTGTACCGCTGGCCCGTCTCTCCAGACACAACACGGTGGTCCTCTGCTTCAGAGTAAGCGGATTCACCCCTGAACACTATACGAGCCATCTGATGCGCATGATGATCGCTGCGACAACCCTCCAGCGATCCGCCGATGGTGTGGGGTCAAGGCAACGTCTTAAAGGCCTCTGTGAGCGTAACCCCGCCTCAGAACAGCCGTGACATGGTGGGCGTTAGCACGGAGTTATACTGCTTAAGTGTGTTGATATCGATGATGATATCGTTGGACGTCGGCCCTGGCGAAAATCATCCTATCTTTCCTCGCATTGTGCCATTGGCCTGCTTTCTACATCTTCATTCGTCGCAATTTCCTGTAGTACCTTGCTGGTACATCTTTCCACCCATGTCTGTACTCGCAGTGGCGCTTATTGTTCGGTAGGACCAGCTTCAGCAACCTACACGCGACCACGTTCGAAGTCGTGTAGTTGTCTGAGATCTCGATATATCGTAATGCAGCTTTAGTTGGCTTCTTCATGGATACAGGGCAGAACAAAAAAGATTATTTTTCGTCCTCTGTTACTGGTTTTATTACTTTCAACTAGAATGCGCGCTGTGATCCATCCTTACATTTGTCTTGAACTTGATCATTTGCATGTCGATCAGATATTTTGCATACAAATTTTCGTCACGATCGCAAATACAAAAGGTGTTCAAACCACCCCAGTTTGTATCTAAAGGAAGAGAGTCTACATAGTGTACTTTCTAAGGAAACTATCGATTGAGGTTACGTATGCGGAAACCACTAAAATAATTATACAGCCAGCTGTTTTCGCTGAAATCGAACACCCAGTATTCAGCGGTTCCAGCACTCGTCCACTAGCATTAGGGCGACAATTGATTAGAGTAATATGTATTAGCGGTTTAACACATAGATAAATATTTTATTTCACTCTTTGTTCTCCAAACGGTCGCAACACAAACTATCAAAGGAAGTACTGCCAAAACAAAGTTTAGAGCTGAATTATCGTAGACAGAAAGTTTGAACAGTGATTTCTAAGGTTATCAAGCCCAGTGTTTATTTTCAACATGAATAGATTCTTTTCGAAAAAATGATGTTAGCCCACATTTTAATATTTTTTTCCAATAAAATGCTTTTACATCTGTATTCAGTTCTCTTTAATTATTTTCACATAATATGTGAACTTTAAAATAAAGCATAAAAACATAAAGCCTTTCATTATTTCGAATAAAATTCATTCCTTTTACATCCGTGTAGATTTTTTCGCATTAACAAGAACACAATTACTTATTTAACAGATATATTGTCACCATATCACTGCTCAAAAATAACGCGTGAATTACTAATTTTCGAATACTAAAAAGTGAACATATAATTTTTTGCATAGAATATAGCACAAAATTTGAATTAGTCCATAACAGACACCGCTGAAGAAGAAGGAATAATAACATATTAATTATGATAATATATAATTTTACCATCCACTTCAATAGAGCACTTCGCGATTTCTGAACCTCCCAGCATAGACAAAATTCCATTTCTACCTGAAATTTAAATAACAACTATAGTAAATTTTGAGTGAACTTTCTGAAATTCATAATATAAAAATCTGTAACATTTATTCCACAGTTAGTACAAATAAATTTTGAATCATATAAGGATGTATTTAATAATATTCTTTAAACGAAGTTAATTATACTTATTTTTACATTTTTTGGTCTTCTCAGTTCAATAATTATTAAAATGTCAAGAGAAAATTTTAATAAACCCAGTAAGTAACGCATTTTTAATTAGTGTGCCGCCAAACAGTTCATAAAATTTATTTTGTTTTCTTTTAATACTGCAGCTTCGAATGAGTTTGTCTACCCACTGCAGCCAACATTACTGTCTGAGACCGAAGAGTTCTATTTTCCGTTAAAATGCAGTTTATTGTTCTTGAGTACTGCAACATATTCAGGTGCAGGTAAAAGTATTGGGAGCACGAAATCTTCATTCAAGATTGCACAGGTATAGCTCCCAATCACTGACCGAACAGAGCAAGTTGGAAGGACGGAAGAAGAATAAAGCTGATGATAGTTCTTGAGAGGGAGATTCAGAAGTTTATTATTAAGAGAGGAGGACAGAAAGGGAGAAAGATTTTTTAGAAGAAAAAGGAGAAAACTAGAAAAAGGGTCATTAGGACGGTTACTGTGGAGTGGGTAAATTAATTATTAGCCACCAGAAGAGACCAAAGCTCGAAACTTTGTAAAATTGGGAAGGGATGGAAATCTAATTAAACACGTTTTACATTAAGCTAGTATAGAATACATTATATGACAAATTCAGAATAATTCTTAAAATAGAAAAAAAAAAGACATTCAATTGTTCGCCGGTGAGAGTCGGACAGGGTCATGCTGAATCATATCCATGACCCTCATGGTCGTAATCAAGGTCATGATGGTCACGGCCGACGAACATTATCTCACTGACAGTAATACTGTCTCCTAAGCGAATCTCCTAAATCAAAGCAGCCAGAACAGTCTAAAGGTGTTCCTTACGACTGAGGAAATGAAACTCGAAGAAAATACTTCCATAAGAAGTAGCTACGGCGATGTGCTAAACAGAAAAGGAGAATCGATTTTTTTTTTCAATGATAATCTTCTTCAGTTTATTTAAAGACAATTCTAAGCCTGACCAAATGACCAAAAACTTCAAGATGGTAAATATAACTTAAGCAAAATTCTATCTAGCTATAAACTTTGTTAGGAAATCGCAAATTAAATCTAGCAGTGCAGGGAAAAATCTAACTGGAATAGGTCATTTCCCCTTTCTGTCATTTTATCGCTCAGGACTGATGCAGTAGCACTCATGGACTCCATTCTTTGTTTTATTTTAGGAACCTCGAGTCGTGGATCCTAAACCTACACAGTAGATGACTGCAAATTACCAAAGAAAATTTTTCACAGCGTGCAGTTACTTGATTTGTCGCAATTTTTTTTAGCTTTAAAGTTAAATTAAAGAAAGCATCAACTAATGCAAGTAGAATTTTTGCATTATATATAAATTACAAAATAATTCTTTTTGAAAACATAACGCAAACATGCCTAGTATTTTCGCGCATTAAACTGTAGAAAAATTATCATTAAATACATAAAGTACTAAATTTAGAAATAATATTTCACAATGACCAAACATTGAAATTCATAATTAATAAATTTCCAATAATTAAATTAATGCAACAAAGAATTTAAAAATGTTAGAACCAAAATATTTCAAACAAGCAAAACCCAACTTCCAAGCAAACCAATTCAATCAACCTCAATGTCACTTCATCGGAGGGGGGGGGGAGGTTGGAACTTGGAAATTAATTCTAATTTCTCTTCTACAACTAAACTAAAGATTTTGACTAAAGATGACCTGCTGTCATAAGAAATAGCGCCCCACACCATCACAACAGGGGTTATTGGCAGTATGCCTTTGTAAAACAAAGGCTGATTGGGACCGCTGGCCTCGTCCTCTCCAGACAAGAATATGGTACAACTCCGCCGATGTTCTGGGGTCAAAGGCAAACGTCTTAAAATCCTCTGTGAGCGTAACCCCCCTCAGACAAGCGCCGTCTGATGGTGGACAATACCACAGAAACTATACACGTGGTTGTAGTGCGTTGAATAATCGACAATAATACCGTTGTGGCGGTTTGGGCCTGGCGAACAATCATCCTATCTTGCCTCACATCTGTGCTCTTTGGCCTTTCAAAGCCTTCATTTCGTCGGCAATTTCCTTGTAGCAACATTGCTCTCAACATCTTTTCACAGCAGTCTCTGTAGATGACGTCCTATTGCTCGGTATGTCCACCCAGCTTTACGCAACCCTACAATAGGACCGCGTTCGTAGACGTTTAGTCGTCGAAACATCATCGTCGTTACGATGATATCCGAGTCCTTCTCGGATATTATCGTAATGGCATCTTTAGATGCTTCTTTACAGAATTACAATGGCAGCAAGAAAGATAAATTTTCCGCCTCTGTTATTGGTTTTATTGCGCGAATTGCGCAGTAGATATGCGCGCTGTGATCGCAATTCCTGTTCGCCTTGAAACTTTGATTATTTGCATGTTCGATGAAGAAGTTTTTGCATGTTCGATGAAGATGCTTTTGCATGTTCGATGAAGGTGTTTTTGCATGTTCGATGGAGATGTTTTTGCATATCAAATTTCTTCCCGATTGCAAAAGTCCTTCCTGTTGCTTCGATGCAACGGAAAATAAAATAGCAATTAACTGCATATTAATATTAGAAGTTAATAGCATTTTACCATTTTCCTTCATTCTATGTGTTAAAGAGCAGTTCATGGCGTCTGTCAGCAATTTGAATTTTGGATTTTCACCTGAAATAAAAATTACAGAAGGTAAAGTAATCAATTTTGAGAGAACGTTCTAAAATTCTAAGTATTTCAGCTATTTCATGCATTTACTATTTCTTAGAAATAAATTGGTAATGATTAAATAAGACTTTTATTAAAATACCTAAAACGTGGAAAAACAAATATTTTAAACCACAAATAATTATAGAGGAAATCTGAGGCCATATATCATACATCTTTATGAGCTTTCTGAATTCTAATTTCTACAGGAAAATAAAATTCAAAAAATAAAACTTTAAATACACAAAAATAATACATTTAATTATTCAAAAAGTACCTGCAATGCATTTATCAATTATTAATGTAAAGATTTATATGTAGCTCTGTATTGAAAATGTTTTTCTTATAACACATTTATTCATTTGCCTGCGTATTAATCTTTTCAATCAGTACTGCTTCAAGAGTTTTCATATTTAAATTTGGTCGAAATTCAGTCTGATAATTTTAATAATAGAAAAAATTCTTTCACAAGCTTCATTTGAATGAAATTTTGTTAAAGCAGCAAGCATTACATTAGGAAATATTTTGTATTTAAAGCACCCATTCATATCTTTCAGTTTTTCAATTTCTTCCCATGCTATATGAATTAGTCAATCTGCAAACTTTCAAATTATCTACTTCGTATGAACTTTCACTTGAGTAAGATATTTTTTCATCAATAACGGATGTGAAAGTATTCATCAGAATGGAGCAGATGAAAATGAAACTATAGTTTTCAAGTTAATGTCAGCAACTTCGTATGTTTTAGAAATGGATCCATTAGGAAAAAATTGTCAATTATATATATATATGAACATGCAAATACAAAAAAAAAAAAAAAACTCTCACTAAATTCAAAACTACCTTCATTTCACTTTCATCCAACCAGCCCTTTATTAAATATAATCTGGTTTTTGCACCAATCATGAAATTTTCTAATAACTACATCTCGTTCAGAAATTACTGATGTCCTGACGAATCTAATAACAAATAAATTGATCAAAAGTTTAACAAGTCCTCTTTTCAATTTATATGTATAAGGAGCTTCTGGTTGCAAATTAAACTTTTCTGTTCTAAACAAAGTATTCTTTCAAAAATTATAACTTCAGTTTGTTGGCATTTGATGGTAACTTTCTTTAATGTTTTGCAATTTCGCTTCATCATTCTCACTGTTAACTGGTTCATCATCATCATCAATATCAATTAATAATTAATAATAATAAAATAATAATAATAATAATATAATAAAAAAAGAAAATAATAACAAATAATAATAATAATAGTAATAATAACAATAATTATTATTATTATAATAGCATCCCATTGTTCTCTAATTCATAGACACTAAAAGAGACAGCCATCTTATACTGCAATATTTCAAAATTTTATGAGATTTTGCATTCTGTCCCAAATATTATAGTATTTCTGTTAGTCAGTATTTTGTAGCATATATTGCAGCATTTATGACAGATTCTGGGCATAGAGTTCACCAGTCTTTTTTTTCGGAAATGTTATGATATGACCGCTTTTAGACGTGGTCATTTTAGCATTGCATTTTTTTTTTTTTTTTTTTTTTTAGTTCACCAGCATTTTTTTTAGAATGAAAAGAGACTAAATCTGCCCTTTCAAGAATCGGAAGTCTGCATAAGATTTACTTTGCAATGTTTCATTACTTTATTTCACCTAAATATATTAAGCTAAGGTATATTAATCTAATGAAATGTAAATTTAATATAGATACTTTTGACTTATTAAATTTAATTAGTACTAAAAATACGTGCTAAATAATTGTTTTAAAATTGTGTTAAAATAATACTTAAAATATTTTTTTAGAAATATTATAGCAAAATATTTAAAAATGAAACTAATCTATAAAGTAAGTTATTAAGTTATGCATTTTATATACTTTAAAAAATCATATTTCCGAAATCAATGCAAATCACATGTTAGCAATTATTTCACTACTGAAATATGACTTTATTTCTTATTTCTGAAGTAAGGACGAATTCACGGCTGTCCAATATTTATGACGGAAAATTCATCGAAGGAGAAGCAGACCAGTATATTATTTACTGGATGCTTATATAAACCAACATCTCGAGATTCGCGTGCTTTAGCTAGCTGCCAAATTCGAACAACTGCGCAATTAATTCAAATTCTAGCAGTTCTTTCAAGAGATGCCATGTGTAAGGCGTTTAAAAAGACTTTTACTTCATGTTTGAAATTTAATAAATGACTGATATAAATAATATTGCTTACATTAAAAGTAAATGTAATGCACTGTCAATCAAAGAACGCATTGTGAGTCTTCTCATTGTTCTGTATCTAGTTACTTCAACTATCTTCAGCGAGTGAAATTATCGTGAGAATGCTGAATTTGTGCTTATTTTGTGTGTGAATATCTGCTTTCCAAGAAATGCTACAATGCTAATGGTGAAACAAGTGTTCGTGAAATAGTATCTCTGTGGTCTATGGTGGTCTCTGGAATATAGTGTTCGTGAAATAGTGTGTGGTTCGGAAAAATAGGTCTGTTCCCAATCAATGTGGTTCCAGCGGTGGCAAGATTTGGATAAACTTAACTAGCTTGTGCTTCGGTTATAACGTCCTAAGCGCTATATCGCATATCACTCAAAAGGATTATGTGTTCAATATTGAAAAGTTGGCTTTCAGAATTAATTCATATAAAACCAAAATAACATACAACGGTAAGGCACTTTCTGGTTTTGCTGAAAATCAATGCAATCAATACAGGAGCAACAACAATTCAAGCAGTTTTGGTATGTTCATTATTTTCAAACTACAAAGTAATTATTGGACTGGTTCCAGTACTTAATATGACTGCTGAAGATGAATTAGAGATGTGTATAATATAAGCAATTAATTAATTATTAAAATTAATAATAATGCACATTATATAGTATATTGTCTTTTGTACAGTATGCAGGAAAGCTTAATGATTTTAAACAGTGTATGAAATGTATGATCGAAAAACTAGCGTTAAGGAAACATTAGCATTTCTATGAAATATTGTAATCTATAATTATGTGATATTTAATTGTGTAATATTAAAAACACTAAATACTTTTTATTGATTGCAAATTGCAGCTTTATTACTTTTCGTTTGGTATCTATTCTTCCAAACACTGTAAATCGAGGTTTTTTTTTTTTTTTTTTTTTTTTTTTTTTTTTTTTTAAATATTGCCGTTATCTATAATGCCGTTATAAATGAACTTTAGAAATCAGGTTTTATTTTTTTATTAAATTTAAGTATATTCTATTGCCGTTATGTATGTTTATTAGATTATATTAGATTATCTCAATAAATTAATGTTGGAAATTAGGTTTTATTTTTTATTAAATTTAAGTATATTCTATTTTCTTCGCTTACTTTTTATGTGCTTGTGATAAGAAAGAAATTCATAATAAAAAGAAACAAAAAGTTTCATCGTGTGCTATTTAACGAAGAGCTTACTTTGACGTACTTAGCTTACTATCGTATACTATATTATTTCAATTATTTCTGTACAGTAACAAAAGGAAAAGTTATGGGTTATATAAAGTGAATGAAACAATCATTGTAATCTACTACTATTCTAAAATGTAGGAAACTAAAAATAAGTAAATACATTAACATATGATCGAAAGAAATGGTGGTTAAGAACATCAGCATTACTTAGTAAATACTGCAATCCATAATTATTGCATTTTTAATTGATTACTATTTTTTAAAAAAACGAAATATTTGTTTCATTAATTGAAAATTTTATTTCTGCTACCTTCCTTCTGCTATTTATACTCTCAAACGCTACAGCTAGTTAATGTTTTTTTTAATAGTACTGTCATGTATGTTGTTTGTTAGGTTATTATTTCATTTTAGATATGAATATGGGAAGTTATTAGATTTAGGTATATTTTTTATCACATTTATTAACTACTTTATACTGTGTTTCATTTGCATATCTTGGAGATATAGAAGTTAATGGTTATATTTTTTTACTGTGAAACGCGAATAAATTTATTCTTGAGTTAGGGTAAAATACTGATTATGTTACTTTAAGAACCACTTCCTAATTTATCATGAGAGGAGCAATTTTCAGTGTCTCTGAGATTTAACAGAAATAAATGTGATAATACTCTTATCAGAAACGCTCTTTTTTTTACGAACATATATATCTTTACTTTTATTTATGTCTCATTTAATTTTATTTACTTAAAACCTACTATTAATGTTATATATTTATAATAAACACTTTCATAATTATTCTCACTTAAGGGAAAAAATGATGAAATCTTAAATAATCGTAATTTAGAATTTAAGTTATTTAAATAATCGTAATTTAGAATTTAAGTTATTTAAATAATCGTAATTTAGAATTTAAGTTATTTAAAAAATATAGTTTAAAGTACTGAAAATAATTAAGGCTACTATTAATTATGCATATTTAGTCTAAAGAGAGAAAATTGTATTATCTTCTGGTTTTAAGGAAATGATAAAATATTTAAACTTTAGAAAAATACAAGGAATACAAAAATTTTAAAAAGGGGAAAAATATATTAATTATTAACCTTATTTTTCTGCATAAATCAATATTTAACACAAGGATATAATAACGACATTTTCACAACTGTTGCAAAAAGGTGGAATTTTGCGAACATTTAAGCATCTTTAAGACGTCGTGATACGATGCTTTCACAACAAAAATATAACCTGCGAAAGACGCAGTAACGACATCTATGCGACAAAAACCTCATATCCAAAGACGTAATAAAGACGTATTTGCAACGATTGCAAAACAGTGGATGTTCGCGGACATCTGGGCGCCTTAAAGATGACATATAGCAACGTTTTTGCAAAGAACATCCGCGACGAGTTTGCAACGTCGCCACGATGTTGCTGTGCTACTTGGGTACAGATATACCAAAGGCGAACGAACGTTGAGGGCCGTGTGAATAGGATCTTTATCCTGATAAAAAAATAAAGTTAT